GTCTCCAGTGAAACAGCAGGATGCTACGTAGGAACCTGGCTTCGGTCCTCTGAGCCTTTGTCCATTTGCTGTTGAGACCCCCAGGAGGGGGAGAGGCCAGCGACGCCTCTGCTGTGGGGACAGGGCAGAGGACAGCCTGGCTGGACCTGCAAAATGAGCACAGGGTTTTGGGAATCGCCGGGCAGCTTTGGCTAAGCCACGAAGCTGGCAACTAAAAGGGGCCGGGGCCTGGTCTTAGCATTTGCTGCGCTGCTTGCAAAGCTCCCCGCGCATCAGTTCGCTCGCGTTTTCTTGCGCAAAGGAGGCCAAGGGTCGGGCAGGGAATTGTTTCACTTCCTGAAAGGGAAACCCTTGGTAGCAGGGTTGGGTCTGTTTTTTCCGCCTGATTGGCTGCCGCTTATTATGCAGGGTTTCCTTTGGCTTTCTCACGTGTTATAGGATGTCTGTGGTCTCGGTGACCGCTGTTTCCTCTCTCAGCAACAGTTGAACCATGGATGCTAAGCACAGTTATCTGTAGCTGAGCTAAAGTGCAGCCCCCTTGTGATGTGCGCTCTGTCTCATGGAGATTAGGCCAAATTGTTATAACCCAATGCTATACAACCCAATATATAACCGATATTGTTATAACTCAATGTATAACCTATATGATTATAACCCAGTGCTACATAACCTAACATATAACCTGTATGGTTATAACCCAGTGCTATATAAAAAAATATATAGCCTATATTGTTATAACTCAATGCTTTATAACCTAATATATAACCTATATTGTTACAACCCAATGTTACATAACTCAATATATAGCCTATACTGTTATAACCCAATCTATAACTGATATTGTTATAACTCAATATATAACCTATATGGTTATAACACAATGCTACATAACCCAACATATAACCTATATAGTTATAACCCAATATATAACCAATATTGTTGTAACCCAATGCTGTATAACCCAATATATAACCTATATTGTTATAACCCAATGCTGTATAACCCAATATATAATCTATATTGTTAAAACCGAATGCTACATAAGCCAGGGTATAACCTATAGTGTTATAACCCAATGCTATATAACCCAGTATATAACCTATATGGTTATAACCCAATCTATGCGAGCTCTGGGATCCTTATTATGTGCCTTTGCTTTCTTTGCATAGATTGAACCTCTTGCTAGCTTTATAGCAAGAGGTTTGTTGGGCCATTTGATTCTCAGTTTTGTCATTTTTATATCCGAATTTCCCTGCATTGCTTTCTTCCAGTGGAGGAGGGAGTGAATGGAAAACAGCTCCATCTCCTAGCTATGGTATTACCTTGGCTTCTGCATCAGTCAACTTTGTTCTTGATCTGGGAGGTTTCAATCTTGTGTTTCCATCCTCTGCCTGGCGGATTTGTTCAAGAGGTTGTTTTTGTTCCTCTCCATTTCCTCTTGGCCGTCACGCAAAAGCTCGTTCTAGAAATTCAGTAGAAGCAAATCTCGCTCTCTCTCACTCTCCCTGAGGTTACGGGATGTGTCGTGCTAGGTGGAAAAGATCAGAATTCAAAAGGATCTTGACTTATTGAAGAAAGGGCCTGAAATAACTGGGTTGCACTTCAAGGAAGACAAGTGCAAAGTATGGCACTTAGGTAAGAATAATCACGAGCCCAAACGCGGGCGGGGGAGTGACTGGCTGAGCATCGGGGTGCGATAGAGGATCACAGACAGAAAGTGAGTCACCATCGGGATCGTGCTGCTGTTGAAGCTGGGAGGGAAGCAGGTGTCATGCTGGCATGCACAACCTGGCGGTGATATGGATGACGAGTGAAATCATTTTTCCCCTCCGTTCAGCACCAGCAAGGCCTCGGAAAGAGGGATATCAGCTGTTGGGACCAGCACAGAGCAACGAGGATGGTCCGAGGCCTAGAAAGCACCATCTGCGGGGAAAGATTGAAAGACGTGGGCTTGTTTTAGTCCGGAGAAAAGAAGCCAGAGGAGATATGTGAAGTCTTCAACCATGTAAAAGCAAAGCGGGAGGCAGTCAGCTGTGCTTGAGGGCTGCCGGAGGATAGGACCAGGACAGCTGAGGTCTGATACGAGGGCATTAGGCACCAGATGTGTTCGGTGGCAGGTGATGGAAACCCTCCTGCCTGAGCTTCTCCAGACCAGGGGAGGAGACACCATCTGCCAGGCGCGGTTTAATGCAGCCAAAAGCAGAGGCCTGGCCTGGGCGAGCTCTGGTGCTGGCATGTCTCATCCTCCGGTTCAGCCAGGCGGGAGCATTGAAGTCAAACCTCGGTGCTCCCACGTATGGGGGAAAGGACAGTGCAGGCAACATGGGATCAGGAGCCTAGAAAGTCCTCCTTTCCATCCTCCTCCTGCCCATCCAGCATGGAGCCGACTCCACTGCTCTCCGAACCTGCCTGATGCCTCAGCCTGCTGCATCGCAGCTCAACGCCCCAGTGCTCTACGCTGCTCTGCCAGCCGGCGTCTTGCATCTAGTTGCATCTCACCCTCTGCCAGCCAAATGGCCTCCTTCAGCTCCTTCCCACCCCTAGCCATGGGTGGTCAGTCCACCGTGGAGGGCCAACCTCCCCTTTCATTAGCCCCAGATGTTCCCTGTGCTCCGCTGGGGCCCACGTGCCCATGACCCACGTCACTCAGCTGTAGTGTTCGACCCGAATCTCTTCTGCAAGTTGTGGGTAGAACCGCCATACCTGGAAATCAAGGACTGGGTCCCTGTAGACGTCTACGGACCTGCCTCTCCTGGTACCCACAGCAGCAATTTAATGCACATTATCTGTTAGTGCCGCTTTGTTATCCTCGGACAAGCCACGACGCACGAGGAGGGCCGCTCTCTGCCACCTCGGGATCTTCTGCAGAGCCGCGGCGTTGGGTCAGCAACTTCTGAAATCTTAGCGAGCCGCTTCTGCTGGAGCTGGCCTGCACGTCATGTCACGCTCAGTTAGGAAATCCACAGATGGCGGCAGCTCCTCTTCGTTCGGAGATGCAATTTCCTCTCCTGCCGTTTATCAAACAGATAAATGGATGCAGTCAGCTCCGGCACCTGCCCTTTGGAGGTTTCGTTATCACTAAGGAGCTGGCGGGGAAAACGTGTTTGGTCGACTCCGCTCGCAAAGTTCTCGCTTTAGGAGAGTAATTGGGTGGTCTTGTTGGGATGGGCATGAATGGCTCCGGCCCCTGTCTGGGTGTAGGAGATCTGCTGCAGCAAGCGCCAGTCGTTGGACTCTGTCCGGGGTTTTTCTGTTGCTTGCATTGCACGGGAGACGAAGTTAAATGCTCTAATAGTCCTTTCTGGTGTGAACGAGCTTTGCGTTTTCTCTCCCTGGCCCTGCCTTGGTGGCGGTTCACAGATGCTCTGTCCTCTCCCCGCCTGACTCGAAGGTTGGCTTGAAACTTGCTCTTCTCCAGAGAGTTTCACGTCGCCTCTCTCCAGCCTGGATTAGCTTCTAGCAGCCGCACCGTCTCCTCTGACCCGAGGGGTTGGACGTGCATTGCTCTTTATGGGAGGCAGCCAGAAGTTTTCCAGGCCCAGGAGGCTCGGGGCTGTGGCTGAGGGAGGGAAATGGGATGTGAATGAGTCCCCCTTGGTGCCTCCTTCAGCATCCACCAAAGGTCCTGCACCTTCCCTCATCCCTGTGTCCCGGTACTGCATGCACCCCTGATTGGTGCTGCCATGCTTAGCAAGTTTGAGGGGTTGGTTTGGGTCCCCCAGGACCCGCGGCTTCCTGGGAAGGGCAGAGCTGGAAAGAGAGGTGAGGAAACACCAGAGGGGCAGGCTGGTTCTGCTCAGGCACCCTGCATCTCTCATCCCTGGGGACCCAAAGAGCATCTCTGAGCCTGGCTTGCATGCACCAGGCTTGGGAAGGAGGCGATGCTGCTGTTTTGGGGTGGGTTTCTAGTTGCTGCTACAAGCAGAGATCTCAATGGCTGTGTGTGTGCACGCATGCACACGCATGTGTGTGCACGCGCACAAGTCCGTTCCCAGCTCCAGTGCATGCGATGGAGACACAAGGAGCAGAGCAACAGATGGGGCAGGGTGAGGGGCTTACCTGCCCGGCCAAAACAAGGCTGGCCTGCCCTGGTGTAGACGCAGGCTAAGAGCCAGGATCTGACCCGAGCCACGTGTGCAGTTTGGTGAGGCCGGCTGGGCCGGAGGCACGAGCCTGCCCCTTTCCTGGCACGTTGCAGACATGTGCCCGCAGGGCAGGGAGCTGGTGCAGGAGGCATTTCCTCTCTGAACAACCCTTAATTATCCCACGTGGTTTCAAAAGCCACATGCAGGTCCTGGACCTTCTCGGCCTCCCAAACCTGGGGAGCGGGCAGGGCCCCGACAGCAGGGACTTGGCTTCTGTGTGTTCACGCAGCTGATTTTGCCGCTGCCCACCAGTCCTCCCCCCTGCACCTCTGCTTTGCTCTCTCTGGAAATGATACCCTCTCCAGCTTTACATGGGCACGGCAGGTTTCATTGACGTCGGCCAAGTCCTTCAAAGCCCGGGCGCATTGTGCGACGAGGGGCCCGCTGCGGAGAGCTGCTTTCAGCGCATCCCTTTGGCTCGAGTGCAGACCAGCTGGAGGAGAATAAAGCTCCTTTTGTGGCTTAAGGATGCTTTATCGAGCAGCGGCTTGGAAATCTTTGTGGGCGGCTCGCGAGCCCGCTCTCAAACACAGCCTGCGTCCCCCCCGCTACTCCCTGTCTGCTCGCTGTTCATGCATGCGCGAGCCCAGCTCCTCCACGGGCTTGGCTGCGTTGAGGGGTTCTCCTTCAAGATCCCCGGGTCAGCGCCTGTGCTGGCTTTCCCTCCACCCATGAGGCACTGCATGTCTCAATACACCGTACTTCCCATGCACTGGTTCATGCGTGTGCACCAGGGCGGTGGAGGGCAGGCGTGATGCGGCTGCGGGGGGATCAGCTGGGGTTTCTAGGCCTGCATCCTAGACAGGAGCCCTGATGCCGTGCTTGGGTCCAGCGACCAGACGCTTGCCCACGACGGTGCGGTGAAATCCGGATGCGCTGGTCCTGCATGGGGCGGTCACGGAGGGCGTCGAAGGGAGGCGATGCACATCCTGGACAGGTGAGAGGCCTGGGGCAGGCGGCTGGGGGGGTGTTTCTGAACTTCCCTCTGTCTGAGTGGAGTGGACAGAGCATCGCACTCGCTGTCTTTGCATCTCGCTGTCCCCAACCTGGATCCCTGGTGCTGGCAGCTGCCACGGGCCTTGCTCTAACGGGATCACCGAGGACTCCCGCGTGCACGAGCCTATCGATCAAGCTGCCTGAGCATAATTGTGCTCAGATGATTGGAGAAGGCGTCATTTAGGGCAGCTGTCACGGTCCAGGAGATGCTGATGAATGGGACTCGTTCTGCAGGGGATGGATGGCTTCGAAGCCAACCTTGAGGAGCAGCTGCAGCCTTCCTTGGCTAGCTCTGCAAGATTTCCCCCTGACCCCCGCCTTCGCGAGCAGCTGTCCTGGTAAGAGGCACTTCGAAGGAATTTGGTAGCCGCCGAGTGAAACTTTGCTCTGTCTCAGCTGGAAGCTTTGCTTCATTAAGCAGCCTGAGTTTGCTGGTCTCTTGTGGAGGTTTCCCTGCATGTTAAATTTAATTAGTGAATTATTGACTTTACTTGAGTGGCCGAACGCCCAGCTTGGCTTACCAGGGGAGAGATTTACATTGATCTCTCAGATTCGGCTCCATTAAAGGTTGAACTAAAAAGCTTTGATTTCCCTTTTTTTCTTTCCCCCCCCCTTTAAAGATCTGCTTGTCCCAATCCGCAGCTGAACGCAGTTACTCCGGATGCACGTGTTAGCGATGCTGCTGGAGAACTGGCTCCCGTCCAGGCTCCACTTTCTGAATTCCTCATTTCCTCCGCGGCGGCTGACACCCGAATATACGCTGTTTTAATGGGATTTCGTGCTTCGTCTTGGGTTTTCGCTCGTGCTGGGCGAGTGCTGATCTGTGGCCTGTGCTTTTGGCCTGTGTAAAGCGAGCGGCTGTCAGCAGACACGCCTGTAGGTTTGAAGTCTAACAGGGTTGCGCATTAATATATGGTTGACATTTTAAGTTTCCCTTTTTTCACCCCTCCCTCTGAGTTTTCCACCTTACCTTGAAGGGAACAATGATCTGGCACGTTGCCTTAGTAACGTTCCAGAAAAGGGCGTCCGTTCACTTCTGCAATTTCAGCAGCCGGGCTGCCGCGATTCTGGGGTGCGAGTTGTGCTTTTCCTCTCTTACCTCGAAAATAAACCCTGCCCCCTGGAAAGGTGCGGTCTTTGGGTCTGAAGGTCACCCAACCGGTCCCCTGCAAAGAAGCAACGCGGAGATGCTTTCTCATTTAATGCACAGGCCGTCCCAATGCAGCTGTGGGCTTGGCTTGGTGTTTCTGGGGCCAGATGTGTGCCAAAGACCCACCGATTTGTGAGAGTTGCTTCAGACAAGTCCTCTGTAGCTTGTGCTGGCAGAGCTGGGATCGCTCCACCTGCCCCTTGGTCATGGAGAAGGGGACACCTGTCATGCCATAGCCACTTTTAGCAGGCCAGTTTGTCCCCTTCCCCACTGGACCGTGGGAATTATTGCAGGGCGACCTGCTTGCCTTGAAGAGGGATTTTCTCACTGAGCAGCTGATTAAAAGCAGCCTATTCCTAGGGCAGTTGGAGATGTTGGTCTGCCCCCCCTCTCCCCGATTTCTCATATGGCAGAAGCTGTTGCTGTTTTTCTTTCATGCTTTAGCTGCCAATGTTTCCTGCGGGCGCTCAGGCTGGCTGTAGAAGTGCTGGAGAGCTTGCAAGCTTGGCCGCATGCCGTCCCTGCAAGGTCGAATGGGACAAGGCTACGGTATCCGGACAGTCTTTGATTTAGGCACCGGAGCCCAAGAATTCAGAAGCAACCAGCAGCGTTTAGTGCCGGAGGTGCAACACTGCAAGCAGGCTGGACACTATGGCGGAGAGAGCTCCTATAGCCAGAGTCAGGCCCTAGGCAGCCAAAACTGCAGGTTGCTGCTGAAAATCTAGGCCCGGCTTCTTTGGAAATCAGGTTTCCAAAAAATGTGACCAGTAAAGACCCCCCCGCCTGGGTAACGGGACCTGACTGCCGGACAGCCGGGGGAGTTGGCGTCTCATTCGGGTCTGCAGGTAACGTGTCTCAGACGCTAACCCCGGTCACATGTGGCATTGGATATTTTTTTTTCTTGCAGCAAACAAATTGCTTTTATGGCCGGGCAGCTGTTAAACCACTGGCATTCGTGGTGCGTTGTGGGCTCGGACCAGCGCTGTTGGCACCGTGGGAAGAGCACTGCGGGCGCTGTCTGCAGGGGAGGTGGCGAGGAGGAGAGGAGTGGTGCTGGGTGGCTCGGTTTGGCATGGGGGGGCCATGCCGGCGGCGTCAGTGTGACAAGCCCTCTTCCACCACGGCCGTGCAGAGGTGCTTATTATCGGTGACTGCAGCCAGCTGTATGCTTGGGTGCAGCTGCTGAACATCTGGGCTGGAGAAATGGAGCTGGTGGGGCTAGAAGCTCCCTTCACCCGGATGTTGTGCAGGGCGAGCTCAGGCGGTGGGTGGGTTCAGACCGTGCTGCTGGTTATCCTCACGCTGTCGGCACCCCTGCTAGCGCAGGGGACCCCGGCCCATTCCCTTCAGGGGGCTAGACTGTGAGTCTGCTACAGCTGGTTTGCTGAGGGACCCCACTGCGTGGGGCCTGGCATTGGCAGCCTTGGCCTTTGGATCCAAGGTCAAGTCTCACGACCGGCGCATCTCATGACCTTGCCGTGCGGAGTCGCAGCTTGTGAGCATCCGAGCTGACCGGGGGGGAGCTGTGGGGTTAACTGTTAACATCGGAAGCAGGCACCGTTGATCTCACTGGTTAATTTATAATTATAATAAGACTGCAATTGGAGGTGCTGGCAGCTAGGATGCAGCTCCCTGGAGGAAAAAGCAGCTGGCCGAAGCTAAGGGAGTCAGATGGGGAGATGTGGGCTGTGGTGCAGACACCGGCGCTCCCTGCACGCTGGCTGCGCAGCTCTGGGGCCTTGTTCTCCCTCCCTCATTTATCAAGCTGGTCGGAGCCGAGGGCACGTCTGTGCCAGCTGCCTTGGCAGCACGCTTCTCCGTGGGTCATGCAAGCAGTGTCACGTTCAGATGTACGTCTCTGGGCCGGCCTCCGCAGCGTGCCGGTTCATCCTCTGCTCGCTTGTCAGGATGCATTTGCTGCTGCCCCTTGCTTCCTTCAGAGATGGAGCAGCACGCGCTGAGTCAGGGGCGGTTTCTCTGCAAGGTGGCCTCTTTCTCACCTCTGCTCGGGGCTGTTCAGCCTCCCCTCCCAACTGGGATGGGGCTTTGATTGGTATGTGGGAGGAAGGAGCTGGCAGAAACCAAAGGCTGGACTCAAAACCAGTGTGGCTTGACTTCAGCTCTGACACTGCTTGACTCTGTGATCTTGGGCATGTCACCCAGCCTCCCCACACTTTGGTTTCATGGTGTTTTATCCGTGTTTCTGGGGGAAGTGAGCATGGCAGCAGTGCCTGCAGGATGTTTTGGGGGGGCCCGGCCCGGCCTGCATGCGCGGGGGCTGAAAACCTGCCTGGAGGGAAATAGCTGAATGACACCGTTGCCGCATGTTGGAAATGCCACGGATTCTGACACTGCCCCAGCTCTCTGCTCGGTTACCCGTAATGAGCCGCATCTGGAGCGGTGACTCCAGCTCTTTCTCTGAGCACCGTGAATCCGTGCTACGTGCTGGGATGTCGGCAACTCCTTGCAGAGGTCAGGCTGCCCGTGCCGGCCTTCGTCCTGGCCCTGCAGCTGGGAAGGGCTTCCTTCACTCAGCAGCTCCCAGCACCTTGCTTCCCAGCCTCTCCGGGAGGTGCTGAGCTCTCCTGTCCTCCCGCCACATCCGTGGGAACTACTGGTGCCGAGCACCTCGCGGGACTGGCCCCCGCTCTCATGCGTCTCTCTGTAGGACGGCTCGGCGTGCTGTTTGCAGGGAGGGGCAGGGCATTTGCTGCAGGGGGAAAACCAGAGGCCCAGGCAACCCTGTGCTGCATTACAGACTGTAGCCTGCAGCTCCCGCGCAGTCGGTGCTGGTGCTGCGGGGCCGCATCTCTCTCGTCTCTCCCCAGTTTGCTCTGCCGGGATGGGGGACATCATGTTCAAGCGTGGGGTACAGAGCCCGGGCTCAAACCCTTTCCCTTCTGCATTCGACTGGCTGGAGCAGCCCCTGCGTCCCCCCCCCTTACCAGCGAGCAGCGCGGTTGGGAGGATGTGGAGCGCAGCCCGGCACAAAGCCGCTGGAGCCTGCGCTAATTCAATTAACGGGGAAATGGGCAATCCAGGGGAAGAAGCCGCGCTGCTTGTTTGCGTCTCCAGCTGGAACGAAGGAGCACGGCAGAGATGGCGCCGGTCCTGCTAGTTGTCGCTGCCCTCGTTAGAGTGGGTGCCTGGGGGGCGGG